GTGTTGTTCTATAGAGTAATTAAAAAGGGAAAGAAGAAGAGGCAGAGGCCGGCGTGGTGCCAGTTTCCCCTCCACCACTACTCTAACCCAAAACCCTAAGTGTCTATATGCAAACCTTGGGGGGGTGGGCACAGGCACAGGAGGCAACAGTGGTGCCATCCGGCCACCTATAGCCATGAGTGCCTACCATAAGTTCCTATATGTGAATTTCATGAAAATGTTATGAGTGAATGTCTAAGATGTACAATAAAATTTGGGGCCCAGGTGGTTATGGCAAATTGAAATGTAATATTTTTGCTCTTATAACACAACTGTGCCCCCAAAAAATCCTACATGGGTGAAGTTGAAAGTGAAGAGGATGGAGGTGTGYGGTGAGGGATGGGGAGAATAAGCTGAAGGAGCAAAATGCTCCCACAGGGAGTCAGGGCTTACTGGGGCCAGCTCCCCCGCTGGCCCCAGTAAGCCCTCCCTTTCCCCGAAACCCACCCAGGAAGAGCAGCCCAACTACCTCTCCCTCCGGGCAAACCGCCAAGCCCATGGAACCCCAGACCATGGACTGATGGAGCCCCGAAGCTACCAGAAACCGGGACCAACATCCCACCCTCCCAGAGCCACCCAGACCCCCAAAACTCAAYCCCAGCTCCATAGCCGGCCCGCCACCCAGAGAGGCCACCGTTCCCCAGCAAGGACGGCCCGGCCAAGAGTGCCCACCTAACCGCCCAATCCCCATCCCAGAAGACAAACTAGACCCACCCCAACATTTGGGCCACTATCAGAACATATAACACGCCCCATATAATGAGCGAATAACGTCCCACCAGAGCCACAGCCCAGGGGCTGCACGCCCCCAGAGTCCCAAGCCCCCCGCGCCCACCCCGGACCCGCCCCAGCATGGCCAGGCAACCGGACCAGCGACCCATGACCGCCGCTACAAACTACCCGAGGGCCCACATGCAGCCACCAGAAGACATCCCCCAGAACCACCAAGGCCCTCCCCAGAGCGAGAGCAGCATCACCCCCATTATCACTTGTTTTGATTACAGCCTGTTTCTTTCTTC